ATAAACACGGGTTGTTCTGATGATACATTATATTTTATTGGCCCATATACTTTATCTGCCGAAAACAAAAACCGGAAACATGCTAGGAATTTTGAATTTTTGGGTTTTCGATTGACGCTCCTCTGTTCAACACATATAAGACATTGTTATGGTAGGCGGGTGTATGGTTGTGATTATTAACGATCGGGTTGTCCTCTAGGTGATACATTATTTGTTATTGGCCCATATACTTTATTCGCCGAAAACAAAAAAACCGCTTCTCTGTTCAACACATATAAGCCATTGACATCTCTACGTAAAGTGCACATGTGCGGCGATCGCAATCAGTTAGTTTAATCATTCTAGTTCACCCTGGTTAGGCGCTAAAGTGTAAACGATCAGGTTGTCCTCTAATTGATACATTATGTTATATTGGGCCATATACTTTGTTCGCCGAAAACAAAAAAACGGAAGTTGCTAGGAAATTTGAATTTTTTGGGTTTTCGATTGCCGCTCCTCTGTTTAACACAAATAAGATGTTGACATCTCTACGTAAATTGCACATGTGTGGCGATCGCAATCAAATAGTTTTATCATTCTAATTCACCCTGGTTAGGCGCTAAAGTGTAATATGTAAAATTGAAATGTTTTTGGTCATTTGCCGCGCTCCTGTTTATGGTAGGCGGGTGTATGATTGTGATTATAAACGATCGGGTTGTCCTCTAGGTGATACATTATTTGTTATTGGCCCATATACTTTATTCGCCGAAAACAAAAAACCGCTTCTCTGTTCAACACATATAAGACGTTGACATCTCTTCGTAAAGTGCACATGTGCGGCGATCGCAATCAATTAGTTTAATCATTCTAATTCACCCTGGTTAGGCGTTAAAGTGAAAATGTAAAATTGAAATGTTTTTGGTCATTTGCCGCGCTCCTGTTTATGGTAGGCGGGTGTATGATTATGATTATAAACAATCGGGTTGTTCTCTAGATGATACATTATATTTTATTGGCCCATATACTTTATTCGCCGAAAACAAAAAACCGGAACATGCTAGGAATTTTGAATTTTTTGGGTTTTCGATTGACGCTCCTCTGTTCAACACATATAAGACATTGTTTATGGTAGGCGGGTGTATGGTTGTGATTATTAACGATCGGGTTGTCGTCTAGGTGATACATTATTTGTTATTGGCTCATATACTTTATTCGCCGAAAACAAAAAAAACCGCTTCTCTGGTCAACACATATAAGACATTGACATCTCTACGTAAAGTGCACATGTGCGGCGACCGCAATCAAATAGTTTGATCCTTCTATTTTACCCTGGTTAGGCCCTAAAGTGTAAAATGTAAACTTGTAATGTTTTTGGTCAATTGCCGCGCTCCTGTTTATGGTAGGCGGGTGTATGGTTGTGATTATTAACGATCAGGTTGTCCTCTAGGTGATACATTATGTTTTATTGGCCCATATACTTTATTCGCCGAAAACAAAAAACCGGAACATGCTAAGAATTTTGAATTTTTTGGGTTTTCAATTGCCGCTTCACTGTTCAACACATATAAGCCATTGACATCTCTACGTAAAGTGCACATGTGCGGCGACCGTAATCAAATAGTTTAATCCGTCGAGTTCACCCTGGTTAGGCGATAAAGTGTAAAATGTAAACTTGTAATGTTTTATATCAATTGCCGCGCTCCTGTCTATGGTAGGCGGGTGTATGATTGTGATTATAAACGATCGGGTTGTCCTCTAGGTGATACATTATTTGTTATTGGCCCATATACTTTATTCGCCGAAAACAAAAAACCGCTTCTCTGTTCAACACATATAAGCCATTGACATGTCTACGTAAAGTGCACATGTGCGGCAATCGCAATCAGTTAGTTTAATCATTCTAGTTCACCCTGGTTAGGCGCTAAAGTGTAAAATGTAAAATTGAAATGTTTTTGGTCATTTGCCGCGCTCCTGTTTATGGTAGGCGGGTGTGATTGTTATTATGAACGCTCGGGTTGTCGTCTAGGTGATACATTATGTTTTATTGGCCCATATACTCTATTCGCCGAAAACAAAAAACCGGAACATGCTAGGAATGTTGATTTTTTTGGGTTTTCGATTGCCGCTACTCTGTTCAACACATATAAGCCATTGACATCTCTACATAAAGTGCACAAGTGCATCTACCACAATGAAACAGCTTAATACTTCTAATTAATAATACATTTATTTTCATACATTGCGCTGCCGTATGTCGTACTTTCAATGCTTCTATACTTATATTCCGTTACTCTCATATATGTAAATTATACATTGCGTTACATGTATATAATAAAATAAGGAGTGTTAAACTAACAAACAAAAAAAGGTCTTCAGCGGTGTCTTTTCTTTATTTATAAGTGGTGAGTGTCGAAAAAAAAGTGAGATATTCAAAAACCTTTTAAAGATTTTCAGCTGTTTAATTATCTATCAAATCTTCAGCGGCAAATTACAGTAAAAAATTTGATTTTGTACGGAACATACCTAAAATATATTAGAATTTATGTGTGAATTTGACGTTAAGTTGCCGCTTTAGTTAGGGCGCCGCTCAACGCTTTTATTTACGTATGCCAGTAAGTTGACAACCCCAATGAAAATTCGACTGAAAATAATTGAAGTTTGTAATACTAAAAAAAGGTTGGGTTGGTCTGAAGTTAAATTGCTATACGTGTCTTTGTTTAAATGACTTCGTTTATACGACTGTATAACTATTGTATTTGACTAACTTACATCATATACACCTAATTCTGTTTTCACAGTAAGAAAATAATTTTTTTTTATTTAAATTTTTTAAACAATTTTATTCCATTTTATTAGCAGGATCAAAATTTTTTAGGCTTAAATTTTATTTGTCCGATTTAATTTTGCGAAATATGTTCATATTACAACTTATAGGAATTCCCTTTTTGTGGATACAAGCAAGTTTACTGGTCAGATCAATTGTAAATAGCACAAATTTAGGGGAATCCCCTGCAAGCAATGCGAGTAACTGATTATGATAGCAATTAATTTTACGTTAATGTATTTGTGATTACCTCTTTAATTTTTTCTTACCTTAAAAATGTAATAACCTATTCTTTTTGTTAGCAACACAGCTGTTTTACATAATCCTTGTTTTTCACAAATTTTAATACGTTTTAAGGATAAGGAACCAATCACCTATTTTTGCATACGACCAACGTCTTTTTTACACGTTTTTTTCTGAATATATTGTTTTCCGTGTGAAAACAGAATTAGGTGTATAATATACACTGTATATGTACATTTGTTACATCGTAAACATGCCACGAAAGTGTTCTAACAATCCTGAAGTTTTTGTTTTGTGTGTGAAGAATTAACTATTAAATCTCAGCATCATAATTTCACGCCATTAATTGAACAGTGCTACTTATTTTGGACTTCCCGTGAGAAATCAAGATAAATCCTGGGTTCCACATACCAGTGAAACGGAAATACTACTTTTGAACGGGAAGGAAAAGAAATATTCAAAGTATTGACCATTGCTTTTATCACATATGGGCGCACTTTTCTGGCAAATTGTGGATACCATGCCAATAAATATGTTGTTTTTTGAAGAATACCAATCAGACACCCAAGTTTTGGTTTCTGTGTAGGAATCAAAGTGCATGCAAATCTGATACTCTTTCGTGCCTTTGAAGCACATTTTTACAAGTGTTTTGCGATTTTTCATTTATCTTTATTCAATTCATGTGGCACCCATTTTTCATACTTTTTGATCTTTCCCAAAGCTTTCAAACGGCCTGAAATTGTTTGCTGTGCAACATTTAACATGACTGCCATTTGCTTTAGACTCAAGGTATCATCTTCATCCAATATTGCTTGCAGTTCGGCGTCTTCAAACTTGTTTGGTGGTCTTCCACGTTCTTCATTTCTCACATCAAAATCATTATCTCTGAACCGTTGAAACCATCTTTTGCATGTTGCTTCTCCATATGTCTTGACAAGCATTCGATGCGACTCTGCAGCACTTTTCTTCAAAGGGAAACAAAAAATGAATGCTTTCCGCAAATCATCATTTTCCGGTAGAAAATTCGACATTTTCAATACAATGCAAAAATATGATGTTGATTGTTCAATGAATGTAAAGTTATTGAATATATCTGACAGACGTTATGCCAACCAAACAGAAAAAAAATTAAGGTTCGTTCACAACAAATGTTCCCTACCAACACATTTGAATCTTAACGCTCACTTCATACCGGTACACCTGATAAATGTTGTGTAATGTGTGTGAGGCTGCTGGTTGGGTTAAGCCCAGTCACATGACACTTGATATACCAATGATTTGGACAGAAACAAAGGATCATGTAATGATTTTTATTTCTGTTTGACTCAAACAAAAGGCATTACAACCAAGTCCAAGCACACTACTCAGTAACTTGTCTTTAACCAACAGACCCATTTTACATAGTACCGAGCTGCCTGTGCCAAAGTTACAGCCTGGCTACTGCTTTGTATATATCTGAAAGAGAAATCCCTTAAACCGTGCGAACCAAAAATTAAAGAGTGATTATTTGTAGGTCCACAAATACGGCAATTGATAAAGTATAAGAACTTTGAAGAAAAACTGAATGATCAGGAAAAACTTTTGCACTCCTTATTATTGTTTAGTGGCCGTAGTACATTCAAAATTTTGTATATTTATAATTTGTTAACTAGTGCAACTGCAACAAAATTTGCATTTTCAAAAATTAAAATGTTTGAAATATTCCTTATTAATACTCTCACTGATGATTTTGATAGCAACTTTTTTTGATTTCTATTAGAAAAGTATAAAAAGAGAATTAATCGTGCAAAAAAGTCTTCAGTCCCATAACTTATGTTTGTATATATAACTTTCATAATGATAAATACAAAAAACTTTACAACTGTTATGTGCTTTGTTTGTAAAGACGCTGCGCTATTATGCTACATACGTTTCGCTAATTAGACTATTACTGAAGTACACATTATATTATTTCTATAATTTCTATATTTAATTTTCTGTCATTTATTTTTATATTCGTGTTTAAGTTGTACAAAACCTTATTTTAAACACCTGGAAGAAGCTGGATTAATGACTTTATCCGACGCACTAATGTGCAATTAAAGTAATTCGCAGAATCTGATCCAGAAGACGATGCAAGATGGTTGCAAAATGTCTCATTGAAGACTGAAATCATATTTTGTTTCAATAAGCCGAAATCCTCTATGGTTGTGGCATTCGGAAGGTATTCTGTAAATGTGTAAATTTCTTATTACAATTTTCCTCAGAGTTTTTTGGGATTATATTTTATAGCTAGTTTATATACATACATATGTATGAACATCTCGAACTAAAGTTTATTTAAATTAATTAGCGTTTTTTTTGTTGCAAATTTGACACTTGAAAATAATATCGAGTTGATATGAAAATGAAAATTCAGAAGATCTTTAACATATTTATAGTCGCTTAATAAATGATATACAGCCAAGTAATCGCATAGATATCAAACATACTACAAAGTTATATTAAAATATTTTAAAACTGTTTTATTTGTGAATGGTATTCTAGCTTCGGTGCAACCAAAGTTACCTTTTTTTGTTGTAATCTACTTTTACAACATTAAGTTAGAGAGAAAGTATTTATAGTATACAATTATTTTTATCATTACCTTCGATGGTAAGTGTTAAACCCTGTCCAGTTGCACTAGCATTCGATCTAACGTAAAAGTTCAAGTGTAACCACAATAAATACAAAGTTTGTTCGATGATAAAAACGTATAACGAAAGTTCCTTTTGTCTGCTTTCATATTGTTTAATCCATTCGTTATTAGAAAAGCGAACTGAAAAAATATAGGCAAATTATTTACTAATTTATAAATTAAGCGTTAAATGATATAAATTTACAAATAAATGAATATCAACGTAGTTGAATAATTTGAGTTCATATATACAACAAAAAACAAGGTCTTGGACGTTTAATTAAAAATCCATACTGCAATTTCGACTTAAAAACTATGAGTACTCTAACAAACGCATTAATTTTTTACAACCTTATTTACTATTTTGTGAGATTTAGTATTGATCGTTGTAGTGTCTGTGTCCTCTCAATTGACTGAATTCTCAAAACTCGCAGGGGTAACCTTTTAAGATTTTAGCATGCATTATCATCATGTAAGAAAGTCGGTCGTTATCTTCTGCGTTCTTAATATAACATTACTCCTTTACTAGTATCAGATTTTGAACAACAATATATTTACAAACATAACAGGTTAATACTGTCTGTCTGTTTCTGGTTAAATATGAACACTATAATTAGGCTATGGAACTAAAAACAGGAAATATTACAAAATAAAAACGGCTGACTTAAAAAAAATTGTTCTTTGTTCTCAAAGTTCTCAATATGCAAGTCATTATGTGCGACAAGAGATGACTCAAAAAATAGTGCATTTTACGATGTCAATAAAATGTATCTTACTTACTAGAGTTATCAATGCTAGCATCTGCCATGTAAGATCTGTGGGAAACTATATTATCAGTAATTCGTTTTTGCATCTCTAAATATTCTACCGATCCTTGCAAGTGATTCAACACTGTCGTGAAGTCTAGCGATTCAGTTACACTTCTCTCCAATTTATCCATTCTGAAAAAATAATTTAAATTTTATATATAATCGTATATACGATGTATATTGCCCAGATAACTAGAAAAGATCTCATGTTACAAGTGTAAAACATATTTTTATTTATTATGTTTAAATAATTTAGTAAAAGATATTTCATTCCATAATACATATGCAAAATTCAGAAAGTACGTCACAAAACTTTCAAAATTATCAGTCAAAATTATAAAAAAAAAATCGAGTATATCGTTTTATTTATTTATTTATTAAACAAACGTCTATCGGCAATATGCAAAGAAAAATTTTAAATTTTATTTATTGTAATATAAGAGGGACAGTACGTAGATTGGTTAGTACATACTAGATTGGTTAATTAATTGACTAATAGTAGTCAGCTTGCTCTTTAGGGCGGATGAAATTGCTGTATGATCCACCATAGAAATCGTTATGTAGAGAGTTGACGAGAGTAGCAATGCGATTGTACACTACATAGTTTTTAGCTGATTGTATTGTTTTGAGTATACGTTTGCGTCTTAAATACAGGTTAGCTGAAACAAACTGAAAACTATTATGGATTTCAGACGCATCGATGACTGTTGGCTATTTTAAAGAAAAATGCTAGATCCGCAATTTGACGTCGAGAACTAAGGCTATTAATTTAAAAGTAGCGACAGATCTCTTCTGGTCAGCAGCCATTTGATGGTTGCACATATCGATATGCTAAAGTCTTGCACATTTTTCTTTGGACCTTCTCAATACGATTAATAAGGAGTTCAGTATATGGCGACCACATAACTGAACCATATTCCAATATTGGTTGAACAAGCGAGTAATAAAGATGAATCAGCGTGTAAGGATTGAAGAAGTCACTACAGGTCCTGGTGATGAAACCCAACATCTTGTGAGCTTGTTGGGTAATTTTATCAGTGTGTTTAGTAAAAGAAAACTTATGGCCCATAATAATTCCCAGGTCATTGATGTCTTCAACTTCAGTGACTTTATTATTAACTAGCTTATAGTCAGTCGAAGTATTAGTATGTGAACGTGAGAAAGATATAGCGGCACACTTTTTTATGTTTAAATCCAATTTGTTATTGATACACCATGTCCTGTTGGAGAGCATGATAATCTGAGTTGTTTACGATTATTCTGTAGATCTTCAGGTCGTCGGCATAGAGAAGGTATTCTGAGCTAAAATTGACACCGTTGTCGTTGATAAATATGTTAAACATGATGGGACCCAGGTGTGATCACTGTGGTACCCCTGTTTTGACATCGTATTTGGATGATAGATGACCATCAATTCTGACTTGGAGTCTTCTGTCGACTAGATATGAGCTAATCCTTTTTAGGGCGTTACCTCGCACACTAATTGCGCCTAGCTTCTATAGTAGGATGTCGTGGTTGACTCTATCAAAAGCCTTACTAAAATCAGTGTAGACAGCATGCACGTTATATCCATTATTCATTGCATTCAGGATATAACTTACATAAGTAAACTAGTTTGAAGTAGTAGACCTTCCACCAACAAATCCATGTTGTTTAGTCGTAATAATCTCGGAGAAGAATTGAGTCAGTTGAGGAAGAATTAGTTTCGCAAAGAGCTTTGCTAGTGCTTACTGAAAATATTCGGAATACCGTCCTGTCCAGCACTTTTTTGGGATTTAGCGATTGCAGTGTCTTGTTGACATTTTCCACAGTGACATCCAGGTCATTCAATATATGCTGGAAACAAGTTACTAGCTTCCTCACCGATTTCGCTGTTGTTGCTTCTTTTCTTGTTACTAACGAACTTCCAAAATTCTTTCGAATCTGAAAGAACTAATTGCTCAACTTTGTTTACATAGTTTTTATAACATGACGCACTGACATCTTTGCATTCTCTTCTGAGATCTGTGCTGTCTTTTTTAGCTTAATTTTCTGGATTAGCTCATTGGAAAACCAATATGGGAAGTTATTTGACCTGTTTATGTGCACTGGAACGTAGAGAGAAATTCCATCTTGTATTGTTTCGTAAAAATAACTAATTTTTTCTTCTAATGAGACGTGAGCATATAATTCCGACCAGTCAGTCGTTAAGAAAAATGCGTTGAGATTCGCGTAATCTGCCTTTTTGAATGCAAGTGAGGGCAATTCAGCTGTTTTGAGTTCAGGTAGAAGTTCTACCGTGATTTCTAATGTAGGATGATATTTGTCAATGAATATGATGGATTCAGTATTACTAATAATAATTTCTATGCTAGAGAAGCAAAGATTTAGGAGACCGTGGTGCTCATTGAGGATAGTCGATAATGAGTCTAGCATTTTTATGTTTGTTTTTCAAGTAGGACAGCTGTTGGCAGTGTAATTTGTAAACTACATACGATGATTGAGGTGGTAGATAGATGCAGCCGATGATAAGATCTGCGTTATTGCACTTGACTTTGATATAAATTTGTTATAAGCAGTTATCTCGGCATAAATGTGTTGTTTTATCGCTATAAAGACGCCGCCACGACGGGTGCAACTACTTGTTAAATTGCTTCTGTCCTTCCTGAAAATTAAATAGGAATTGTCGATAATTTCACCATATAATATAGCTGGGTGGAGCCAAGACTCGGTGATACAATATACATCAGCATTACTGGCCGGTGACTTAGACCTCTCACGTTCTGGAAGTTATCGCTAGTGTTGTCGGACACACTCTTCTCGGCGAGCGAGCGAAAATTCTTATTGACAATCTTAGGAATTCCATTTATGTACTTGATTATTTTTGTTGAGTCGCCGTTCTTAGTTAATGAATCCCGAGTGAAAGTTCAACTAGAGAGTAGATTTTTTAAGTAGAGCTGTTGGGCTTGTGTTTGATCAAATTTAAAAAATATTTGAGATCTGAAAGTATCGTCTATTAGCTTGCACTTTAGGATGTACAAGGCTACGTCTGGTACGTACGTACAAGGCTACGTCTGGTGAAAGTGTTGGGCGACCAAGTCGGCGTAATTTGAGGTTTGTTATATTACTGACAATGTTAGGCCGTATCACAGCAAGAAATTTGGATTTGTCTTCCTCCAGACGCTCCTGGCCACCCATTTTCATCGACTCTATGACATTGACTGCTATTACGTTGGATCGACGTCTTTTCCGTTCCGCCAGCTCAGCAAATATGTCATCAGTAGATGTAGATATGTCCGGATATTTTGTTTATTTATACGAGCAATTTCCTTGAATTCCTCATTGGTTAAATTTGTACATTTGAGATGGACCCGGTACGACATGATGCACAGAGAATACTTGCTTGATTATCTTTAATATTAGTGGAACAGATGCTGCACACGTGTGCGATTTCGCTCTGTTTTCTAGGTGGCATGTTAATTCGCTTAATGGTATTATTAATGTCACTGCCCAAGTAATGATTGAGAAAAATATAATCAGGGCTGTTGTAGAATCTGATAGTTGTCGGAATCAGAATTGAAATCGATAAAACAAAAATGTTGTAGGTGTCATGAATTCAGATATTATTGGTTTGACGTTCGAAACCGAAATTGTATCGGTTAGGGGTGTCCCAAAAACCAATTTTATCGGTTTTGTTATCAGAAACAAAGCAAGAGGATTTTTGCTGACAGTTGTAAGTTAAAAAAAAAATATATATTATTTTACGATTTAGTTTATCGTTATTTATATAGGAGAAAACACAAAAATAAAACAAAAAATGTCATAATTATTGAATTTATGAAAAAAATCAAGATATTTTAAGAGGATTTACAAAACGTAATTTAAGACCCAAATTCGTCTTTTTTCCGTCGATAATGTGATATAAATCTGTAAAATAAGCATGTATACAAACATGCAATTCCCCTGGTGCATCAGTGGATTACTGTTATCTCTTAATTTCTTCCTTTTAATTTTTTTATTGTTTTTTTTTCAATAAAATAAAAGCTAAAATATCGCAACTCATTATAAACTTTAGTAGATTTATTCAGTATTTTAAATTTATCAAACGCTTCCAAATGTATTCATTAGCAAGTTTTGTCACATTAGTAAACAGCTGATTCGAATATTGGTTTGGTATATGTTCGAAAAGACGAAAATCCAATCAGATTCTGTGACACCATTGAAAATGAGAATTGGTTTGCAATTCTGACAACTACGCAAATCTGTCTTGGATTCCACAACACCCCTGATTAACATTCGTCTCAATGTGTATATTGGCAATTTAATTAATTAATTAACGTAATTATTAATACAATTTACACAGCACGAAATGTAAACACTTCAACTGTTTAGCTCTCAAAGCTGATGTGATTTAATAGCGCTTTCAATCATAGTCTAAAATATTACATAACAATTTGAATTAGATCGATAAGTTCTTCTATTATCTAGCTATTATGGAAATCTAAAGAACAATCTAAAATTTGGTACAACCCATTGATACCCTATAGTTAGATAAAAGTAAATATCTCCCTCAATCTACAGCTACGCCTTCTCTGTACAAAGATTATGTTCAAAAAAACTACTAAAAAGTGCCATTTTACTAATTTTAATTAAATTTAGTGCACCATTATCTTACAAAATCGCCCACTTTACATTTCATTTATGATATAGGTATAAATCAAGCACCAATGAACATATGAAAATTAGACTAATTGCTCGAAATTGAAGCTTAAGTGCCTACATATATGTATATACAGTTGCGGTTAAAATACTTCTTCTAAAATTTTAAATTCGCTTTTTATATTGGCAATGTATGTATTTTATTTATAAGTATCATAAAAGAAAACTTATGTTATTAAAATTTCATTTCGAAAGGTTTTGCATATATAGGCGGTCAAAAAATTGTCGTATAATTCAGCTGAGTAAAAAGTTTGTTGAAATAATTGTCAATGTACAAGAATTTCAGAATTATACTTAAGTATAGGAGAAATAATCAATACTCATTTTCAAGGCTTTTATTCGCTATAACAATGGCATATCGCCGATGCGTTGAATTAATAAGATTTTCACATCGTTCCTTTTTCAGGTTGCGCCACTAACTTATGTTTATTTAGAGATCCAAAAACTACTTTTCTGAAACCATTGCTAAGACCAACTTGCCTGTGTGGTTTGTCATTATTTTGTTGAATTCGATCAATGCTCAAATCATAATAAATAAACTAGATCCCCCATGATTAACTGATGTTGTTGTGTATTTTAAAGTGTATTTGGAATTGACTGGTCGTCTTACGTATTGGCGAGACTCCTAGTTTCTTATAGGATCTGTCTATGAAATATTTCTTATTCTACTAGGGGCCAATCGAAGTGCTCATTTGCGAACATCAACCTTTGACCATATGTGTTTTCACAATCTCACAAACGTCTACGAATAGTTTAAACATAATAGTTCATGCATACACTTGTCTCCACACTTCGTTTAGTTTTTATTGAAAGTGCAAAAGGATAAGTGATCGGACCACTATAGTATACAGATGCCATTCAAACTGAACGATCAATATCAAGATAAAGATATGCACCTGTCAAGGGTATTATAGCTTCGGTGCAGCCGAAGTTAACGTTTTTTCTTGTTTTTTGATAAGTTCGCGCTAATAAGCCGTGCAGTGCTTGCCTTGTCCCATTGCATGAATTTTACAGAATGATAAGGAAATACTCAATACTTACTTTTTTTTGAAAATATTTATTTTAAATATGTGTTTTGACTGCTCAATCCTTTCACTACTGTTTTTTTTCGCAACTTCGTTCTGGATACTGGTAGCAGGTTAAACTCCCCGACATACCAAATATATGTATGTCCTGCATGCAATGAGTCTCCGCATGACACTAACCACCCCTTTGCATGCCCAACGAACCCCACTCATCTAGCACCCATTTCCCTATGGTGCGACCCTGTCGAAACAGCTCGTTTCCTGGTCCTCCCGTTAGATGACCTCAACGACAACCAAATTGAAACTTACCACCCAAGCGGGGAATAGGTAACAGTTACAACAACAACATCACTACTGTTATTTTGACGGCCCGAAAGCCCAGACTTAAAAAAATAAATGAAATTACATTAGCAAGTATTAAGCTATATAGGTACAGTGGTACCTTTTTTATTACACCCTATCTTCATGCAAAACAATTAATGTAACGAGAGAAATTATAAACACTAATGCTAAAAACACTATATGCCAAAGTAGCACCAATATATGTATATATTCACCAAGTACATATGCATATATACATATATACCTATATACTTGTATTATATCTATACTTTCTTTTTACCGTAAATATCATTAAATTTCTCTGAAAATAAAGTAGTCTGTTGCTAAAAATGAATAAAGTCGCTACAGTACACTTCCAATAGATCCCATATATCTAATACATTGATTTTCGAACTTACGACTTTATACTTAATATATTGGTCAATATATAAGATATTTTAACAAAATTAAGCGAACGTATTTCTTCAGTAATACTGTCCTCGAATTAGCCCAGCTATAATTTAGTAGATATAATGCAATCGATGCATAATTATCGGATATTTAATTCAATTGTTACATTTTCAATATAAACGTTTACAGATATTGCTTTGATACGAAATGTGAGTGTATATAATGTTCGGCTGCCCCGAACTTAGTCTTTCTTTACATGTTGAGAACTAGTTTTTGTTATTATATTAAAATTAAAAATTATTTTGTGACGAAACAACATCAAGAATTATAATTAGTTGAAAACGTTTATAATTACCTACCTACTAAGTGATGTATTTTTCTTCGGTTTGAAGAGAATATCACTCAAGTTTATAGTATTTGTAAATTTGTAGCGGAAGAAAATTGTAACATTTGCGGCGATGTCCACATAGTGTTTGATGCAATTAGGTTCCGAAAATTCGTTTATTTGAGCATCCAGTTTTGTGTTTCGCTTCAAAATATCGTTGTTTAATACAAAATAACAGAATATATGCAACATATATTTATTAATTTTGTGAGAGTAGATTTTGTATTGATTCGTGTTTACGTCATCTGGTAAGTATATATCCTAAAAAACAAGACACCATGAATCAGCAGTCAAAAATGTTCATGCAAATATTGTACCTTTCGCATAACTCGCGCAATAATGCCAGTAACCATAGAAAGTTCATTCATAATACCCAAATCCGAATGGGACAAACCGGTTCTTAGTATGAACTCGGTGATTTCAAAGTGAGAAAACAAAAAATTCGCTATTTGGGAAATAGCTGACAGATTGTCCATTCCAAGAGTTGATATAATAGCATTACATAGCTGTATAGCTGGGAAAAATATCTGACGAAAGCGATTGTTCACTGCAGGCAGAAACTCCGATATGGCATTTTGACTATTTACAAAGCCTTGAAAATTTGGATGCAAATCAAACACCCTCATTTTAGATAAAACACTTAATAGTTTAGCTGATAACAGCATTTCAGCACCCATAGAACAATTAGCAAATCTGAGTAGTAGTGCCATGTGTGATTCGTAGACATATAATGCTTTTATATTTTTAATTGAGTCACTTACGATAAGGCATAAATCTTGATCGGATTTTTCTAAGTTTTCGATGACATTAGCTAAATAACCCCTATTTGCAAACAATTGCAAGACACTTTGAATATTATTAAATTCTAACGCTGAAACAAAACACGACATAGCAAGCATTTTACATACATCATGCCCAATAACACAATCACGACACATTATATCAATTAATTTATCTCCAAATAACGAAAATAATTCGACTGGAACCTGCGTTACTACTGGGTTTACTGAAGGTGCAAGTTTTTTATCTAAACGAGAAACAAATCTGAAATATAAATAATAAATATATATGTTAATAATAAATATATATATAAAAATATATTTAGAAAGAAACAGTTTAGTTAAAGAGCACTAGAAAAGTGAAAAACTGAGCAAACAGATAATATTAGTACCCCTATTATGGTTTTCAACTTCATTCAGTTGAATTGAATTTAAAACAATAATCAAACTGTTTTTCGTATTACTAACTTTAACTACAAGTATTTTCAGTCGCAGTTCCATTGATGAAAAAGTGAAATGAAAAAATGAGTAATTAAAAATCGCAAATCCATTTATGTTACAAGTAAATGTTTTTGCAGACTGGTAAATCCTTTTCATTTAAATAAGGAAGCATTTAGTTTTTTACTAAATGAGATGAAGGAACCACAAACTCTCTGCTTCGTCCAGTTTCGGTATTTTTCTCACGAGATCAACAAATCTTTCATCTTGTTTTATCTACATATGTATTTACAAAATAACTGATTAAAACAGTTCAAATTATGTATAAAATAGCTTTCCGTTTTTCATTATCTATTAATAATATTTTTTTTAAATAAATGCAGTAATGTTCAATCACAACTACCCTCGGGCAGTGTTGAAAACTATAATACCACAAAAACGTCGAAGTTTTACAACACTCCAAGCGAATTTTTTTACGAAGCTATTTGCTATCGATAATTCCGAATTTCAACCAAAATCGAAATGGGGGGCTTAAATGTTGAACATAAACTTTTTGCTTTAGAGAAGAAGATAATTTCCCATTACTTCAAGAAGATTTAAAAAAAAAAGAACTAGACGGATCACAATACAAAATACACAAATTTTGCATAACCTATATTAGAGTATGATTGAATTTGTTTACATTAAAAATTAGTAGTAGTTATCCTCTACACTTTGAGTAACTAATAAATAACTTTCAAACTTTGGATGTTACGTGGGTATCAAGTAATAAATTCTTCACATCTACCCAGACAATTTTTGATAAAACCTCAGGAGCCAAAGTGAAGACCAGGAACACTGATTTTCGCTGCCCTCACATACGATTATTACAAAAAAAAAAACTACTTCTTAACATGTCCTATTCAAATGTAAACTTGTCTACCTGTCGATATTTTCAATAACATATTTGATCATTATTATCATTCTAATAACATGAAATAAAATAAAATTTAAGTTAAACCCAATTCTTAAAATTAAGGATATTCGATATACATACGTTTCATAATTACGGGATGTTATGTTTTCTAAGAAATGCCCATTTAACATTCGGAGACAGCTCAGTATTGCAGCATACAAGTTTATTCGAAGCTTTTGAGACTTAACATCGCTTACTACAATCCACTCTAAAAGTCGCTTCAATATTGATTTTAGATTTAATATGTTTGAATCTGAGCTTACAATATTAATAGTTTTCACATTTCCGTAGTATGCAGCGTTAGTTGTATCGTTTCCTGTAATTGTAGAATAAGATAATATTAAATACGGTACAGCATACTTGTTTAGACTAAAATTTTATTTCAAGAGGTAGTTATCGAATTACGAGCAAATGCATTTTTTATAGTACCTATATATATTTTCTTTGACAACGTTTTTAAAATATAATAGCATCTAAACATTTAGGAAAGGATCTAGCAGGCTTTGCCTATGTTTCCACTGCAGGATTAACAGTGCGCAAATAGAGTTGAGTCTTTAGCTTAGGTCTATTTTTAGAAAATGATTAAAAACCGAGATTTATGTTCCGAATCAAAAAAATTACTTACAAAATAACAAAATATATTTGGCAATTCGAAATTTTAAAAACGTCAGAAAGACTTTATCCAGAACTGACGAACTGAAAAGCTTTTGAGCTCCATATCACCACATACAAAGACACACTTTAAAAGAAGGTAGGGACTGTGGCATGAACACAGACGGAGGATTTGTCATTTAGTAAAGAAAATAATCAATTAAATTGCGGCCACTGGTTTTGTCTTTTTTACTTGTGGAACTTAAATTCATACGAAGCTTTAGCTCGTTCGTAATTCAGTGACCAGATATTATATGTTTATGAAAAAATAAAATATGTTTATAGAAGTGTTTGGATATAAAAAGATAGACTTAAAAATTAACAAAATTTATGGATTATTCAATCTGTTTATGAAATCAATTAAATTACTTACCCATGTTTTCTAGATTTCGGGAGAAACATTGTCGTAAGCAGACAATGAGTATAAAAATTGCTTCCGATGTTAAAATTGATATTTCCAAAGGAAGTTGTATGGATACTGCTTTGTTAAGAAGTCTTTGTAATATTTCAAATAAAAGTTCTTGCTTGATAGTATATGGCAAAGTATTTTCCGAAGCGTATATAAATATAATTTCAGAAACCTAAAGATTTAATAAAAATACTCAGAATCTAATAAAATTATACAAATAAATACTATACTTGTGCCCAGGCATCCATTACTTTGATCGTTCCCTTGTTTTTATTCCGCATTTCATTTATTTTGAGAGCATATATCAATATGGACTCAATTTCCTGCAATATTAATTTTCGTTGTCCACCGGCTATAGTGCCTTGTACATTGCAAAGCTCATCGTGAAGTATTTTGTGCAATTTTTGTAAATTAATTAATGAGTGACCCTCCTCTGTTATGAATTCGCACTCATTGAATATTTGTTTAGATAAAGAAATATCAAAGAAATCCCATTTAATGGTAGTTATTTCTTTTACCTCAAACTCTAAAAAATCCAGAATGTTACTAAGCAAAAAATTTGGCACTCTTTCAGATTTCGGTTTAATAAAATGCTCATTTAAAACAGGAGATGAATGGGAAAAAAATAAAGTAGAATTAATAGAAAGTTGATCTTCAGACTTGTTAGTAGCAGTACCCAACAAAATTTCACAAATTTGCTGAACTCTACTTATTTGACAATAAGAACTTGATAGTTTTAATTCTATTGCAGTACATTCTAGCAAGTAACTTGTCTGATATAGAATGTGGGAGTATTTGATGTTTTTAAATGGGAGTTCGTGTAAGTGTCGGCAAATAAAATCGTTTGATGCTCGTAAATATCGTAAAATTCCTTCGGATGTTCGTGTATTGGAACACAACAAATATAAGATGAAATATGAGCTCTTGTTAATTTGCTCCAAATCTGCATCGTAGTCATTTGAAGCTCTCATTGCCTATCCAATGGTAGAATATATTAGCTAAGTTATTATAATATTTATTTAAAAAAAAACTCTCACCTCTAAATGTTCATCTAATAAAGCTATTATTGCTTTTAAACAATGATTAAACGAATCTATAATATTAAGTTTTCGTTTTTCGATAGCATCAGTAGTATATTCAAACCCGAGAAGATAATACCCAATATTTGGATATGGTTGTGATATACAATTTCGAAGAAACTCTAATATAGAGGTTTTGATTTTTAAATAAATTTTGTGCGGTTTTAAAAACTCGATAGATTTTCCATAGAAGTTATTTGCATTTATATCCATATCTAGACAATCCACAAACCCTTGACGAATTTCATCATATATATATCCGTTTGAAATAAATACATCCAAGATTTGGGATGAAATATTAGGCATCTTCGAAACCATATTAAGAATATTTACAGCAGCAAAGGAGTGATTGGGTAGCCAACTGCAGTACATGACAAATTTTGTTATATTCAATAGATGATCCGGACGTTGACTGCGTGGATTGACATCTAATATGATTTTGTTTAAACCAAAAATAATATTTGACGTATTCGCAATATTGTGAGAATTCAAAAACTCTTTTTGTTTAATTAATCCTTCTTTTATTATTAAAAGGCAGAGAAGGGCACTTTCCTCAAGCAACTCTCTTTCATTAAATTGTTCGTACTCATCAAGCTTTTGTCGTGCATCATCAATTATTAGAAGAAGTATATTTAAAAAGTGAGATTTTTTTTGCAGCTGTAGCATTATATAATACCCCATTGGCGAACTTTGGTCTTGGAGCTCTTCAAAATCTTTTAACGCTGGTTCATATGTTTGTACTAAATAGTTCAATATTTTCAAACATTTCAAACAGATTTCCCATTTTTCTGTCAAATTTTTATACTGTCTGTTACAAAGATAAAAAGTGTATATTTGTCAATAATATTAAAGATTACATTAAACTTTATAACATTATAAAGCAAACCGCATCGATTTAATTTGTTTGCAAGTAGAAAATATGTATATATAACGAATCTAGTATGTTTGGCCTTTTTACCTATCATAGAATTTGAAGAAAATTTCTTCAAAAACAAAAGTTATATAAGGTTGTAGTCCTGGTTTTCGGTGGTCCGCTCCTAAGTTTTTAGGCATACAAGCTTTTAATAAAGAAAATATCAAGTCTAAGATACCTTGAGAAAGGGGATAACATTCGAGGCGAGATTCGTTCTGTGATATTTCCGTTAGAAGATTGCATGATTCTAGAATAAAAAGAAGTTGTAATGTAACGAGTTAATAGATATTAGTAATTGACATAAAAGTCGAGCAAAAGTTTATGATTAATTATGGTACATGAGCACAAAAACCACAATACTTTAAAATAGTCAATTAGTAAATTGAGGGACTTCAAACAGTCAAAAAGTTAGTAAAAACAAATACATTTTAAAATTTAAAAAAATAAAACGCTGAAAACGAACTTTTTTTGAGTGTACAGTTTGAAAGAATGCTCACTATTTCTATTGAAAGGAAAAAAATATATTATATGTTTGTTTTTATCAATGCACTTTAATTTTGCCATCATATTTATTCTATATATTATTTAAAACTGTTAAAATATTATAGGAAGTTTCCTTCCTCCACTTACAATTTTGAATTATTTTAAATGTTTTAAGTATCAAAAGTTAAGCGAATTATAATATTTGGTGTAATACTTACTGTTGGAACTTATAACAGGTATTGTTGGAATAATTTGAGAAGTCTCAAGGATGTTCCAAAGAATGGTTGCTGTTTCTTTAGACTTGGCTAGCGCAGCCAACGTTTGTAATATATTTCCTTTCAACACAAGTGTTACCGGACAACTTAATAAACCTAAAATATATATATCACTTAATTTATATAGATTTAAATCCATTTATGTATATGAACACGAAGAGATTATTTGAAAGTATGACGACAATTGCATTTTTCAAATAGTAAAGACTTAAATGTACCTAGAAGTATTTGTAATGGGGCCCAATTTGGGTTTTCACAAATTGCTATTCTTGATAATTCATCATAGGTAGCCACGGCTCTTATCACTTCCAGTACTGACTGAAGAGCTTCAATCTCTTGAGGGTTAATACTTCGGTTTAAATGAGTTTTGTAAGATATTTCACTGCCAACCCCATGTTCTTGTCGTAAATTTCTAAAAGTAAATGAAACTAGATAGTATGTCGGTTGATATGTTGTATTGAATAGCCGTATTTTTGGCTTAATCAGATTTTAATAAAGAATTCCAGGGACTTCAAATTATAAAAACGTACACGACGTAGTATCATTAAGATTGTTTGTATACAAGTGTAATACGTTACTCCACTTACGAATAGTATTGAATCAACGATCCGAAAAAATGTTCCCAAGATAGAGTTGAACTTCCCGTTAATCCTGAAGCTTGTTTCAAAAGATTGAATGTATTACGCGCAGACTTTTCACAACTAGTCAAACCAGCAATCATTTTTAAATACGATACAAACAAGGTAGATGGCAGTAATTCTCCAGCTAAACGAATAAATTTAAATAGGGAAACTGAACGAGTGGTAGCTTTCACAGAAGTGAACGTTGAATCGAGTGGTTCCCAAAATTCCACGCACAATGCTAGTCCTGCCCTATTATCTTTATAAAACTTAGAGATACATAACATCAACATTTCAAAACTGTGGTCTAAGTTAAATGGCGGCTCCAGTCCTTCCTTTATAAATCCCATAACAGTTCTCGCCGTTTCATCTGCCTTTCCTCGTAATTCAGTTACTTTGGAATGCATAAATTCTATAAAGTCCGTCAATAGCATATGAATACGACGATATAAAAATTCATGCCTAGATACCAAAATATATTAATTAAATAGTTTACTGATTATTTAATTAATTCCTTACCGATATACATCTTTGTTTTCTAAAACATAATAGTATAAAAAGTCGAACACTTTGCTGTTGATTGCAGCATCAATAAGTTGCTCATCATATGCTATAATTCTCGATGATGAATTCGGTACCTGCATAGATGCGTGTCTGAAACCAGTTAATGCTAATCCAAAAGCGAGTTTGATGGTTCCAGTCAGACCATCCTGTTGAGTGGGAATTAATGCGTCATAAACCGTTTGTAAAAAGTCCCCTTGAGAAAATATAGGAATGGTCTGCCAAATATTGCTAGGAGCTTCATATTTAAGCAAAACACTTGTATCGCACGCATACATTAATGAAAAAATAACTTTTAATGTTACATTATCTATTATTCCCGATGATTGAATTTGGGAAAAATTTGATATATTTTTAATTAGCTTAACAACAATTTCCTTAGAAAGTCCTCTTTGCGCAGACCAATAAAATAATGCGGTTGCTAATCCCATTCGTATATCATTGTAAATTTGCTGAACTTGGTTTTGATGTTTTTTTGATCCCAATGCTCGATTTTTCGTTAAGATAATAATCTAGAATAAATAAACATATTTTTTTATTACATATTAATATTTAATTTAAGCAATAAATTATAGGTAAGATTATCCGAACATTTCATGCTCTCGCTACTATGAGGCTCAAAGAAGTTGAAATACTTTCAAGCTTCAACAAAACTTTGTATTAAACATTTAAATATGTCGCAAATTAGTTCAAAATTCTTTATTGGCAGAAACCGCAAAAGGATTACAATCATATTTGGCATCTTATTAACTTAACTAGACTCACTTAGTTTCAATATGTGTAGATACTAAACAACTGTACAAGCCGTCCTACGCCTTGCTTCAAATTATTCGTTCATTTAATATAACACTGCAATGTTGAGAACTGCATAAAAAATTTGGCATATAAAAATTTGCACAGTAAGAATAAATCCACACATTTCTTATAAAATCTACCATTCACTAGACATAAAATATTGGAAATTGTTTTTACTTTGCTGTGATTATGGTATAATTAAATTATATTATAGTAAGCTGTTCATTTGAGTGAAAATGTTACTTATAAATGAAACCAAAAACATTATAGGAGGTAAAAAAATCCAAGGGATTAAAATTTAAATTTTTAATTATAAACATTTTCCACTTAATTCAATTCAACAATATTCAGTGCACAATATTCTTAGTTAATCCGTCTAAGGCTATCTTTCATCAGAAGAATATTAAGTGAATAAATAAATATTCAACCAAAATCATGATTCAATTATATAACGTTGAGCCGATAGACCAAAAAGAACAATTTGTCAAAATGGTTTTAATAATTGAAACGAATAGATTGTCAATCATTAATCAAATGTAAACAAGAAATACATAAGAAAAAAAAAGTTGTTTTTGTTATTATGGACAGAAAATTTTTTTCGTAAGAGGAAACACGCTCCGAAGTAACACAACCTTATATAATTAAACCAAAAGCTTTTGCCATGTCCAACGCTACGAGGATCGTCCACTCACAGGGTGGTTTTTGGTTTTGGCCATGAACTATCAGGGCGTTTATGACGCTAAGTGGAGAAGTGAGTGAACGTCAGGAGTATCAAGGCGTCAAGCGTCTTCACTCCTGCGGAAAGGAGAGTTATTTTGGTAGTGGGACCTCTCTTCCGACTTTCCACCCATCGCGTATTTGAAGAGTGCTCAGCGACAGGTTGAGGATCTTGGTCAGGAAACTTATTCCCGTCGAGCCTAGATACTTAAGCATCAGCATATTTAGCACAAAACGGTTTGCACTGGTTGAGCAACATGTAACAAGGGGGATGTATATATTAAATGAGCTCGACATCGTCTGACGAGATATCTATACCCTGACATTCAAGTGTAGTATCCCTCCGGTCGATATCGCCATCGATAAGACGATATTGCACAGTGTTATGCAGTATGAAAGCTAGGCTTCCACCATTATCTTGCTTGCGATCCTTACGTATGACGTTGAAACCTGCGACACTCAGAAGATCTGAGCGGCTACTTAACTTAGCGCATGAACGCAGCTATCTCCTCGATATAGCTCTGGAGTGCGTTGCAGTTAAATTTTAAAAGTCGGGTTTGCCTCGGGTTTCTAGGGATGAGAGAGTGGCGCGCAGTTGGTGGTAGTTGCTGCTGTAGAACCCTTAGGAGCGGTTGTCGCACTGTGTTGCTTGGCGACGCCCCTGTAGGGAGTTGCGGGGGCAGACTCCTGCAGTACGGGGCAAAGTACGAAACACATCACTCATGAGTGGTTCACAGAACGTCGGGAAGTGACACCAGCCAGTACAAAAATTGTTCTTGACTGATGTGACGTTCGATCGGATGGCGGTCTGACGCACAGATTGGGAGTCATGCTTCCTGTTTGAGCTTCTGAGGACCGGGGTTGTACTTTTTTGGCCACCTGACTAGAGTAGCGGCTGATGGATCATTTTGGAATAATACGTGCATGCTTACGGTCTATGTTTAATTTTTCAACGCTGCGCCATAAGAACTATAGTTTGAAACATACATTTATCTTATCGGCGAACATAGGGCGAGAAATGAACGATAAGATCTGCCGAAAAGACACCACCGAAAAGTTTGCCCTTGACGTTTAAATCTTGCATTTTTCTGTGCAGTACTTCGAGTAATATTTGATTTCTTGTTCGGCATTTCACTCAAAATTAAAATTATGAATTTTCTTTCAATTTCCAAAACATCCTTATGTTTAGAAATATAAATATATAATATATGTATTAGGCTGATTCAAAAGAAATTCACATTTCACATTTAAATAACACGGAAAATTTGTTTCTTTAATTTTGGAATTTTGCAACTCTGAACCGGTTTAACGGATTGTTGAACCAAATTATATTCTTATAGGAAATTTGACGCTCTACAAAAAAGTTTTTATAAAATTAAAATAAAAATTAAATAAAATTAGTAAAAAATAGATGTGATTATTTTGTAATTTTAAGTTTGATCAAAAATGTTCTAAAGACTTACTGTTTTTTAGCAATTATAAGCTAGAAAATATTAAAATGTTGTTTTCAATAAAAAAATGCGTAAAATATAGCTTTTTTACACAAGTGTTTATGAGCTGTTTCTTCATATGGCAGTACCCTCAACACTTACGTTTTCAACTTGTGCTCTTTTCTGCTACCTTTTTGGGTAGAGAAACGATTTGCCAGCACAAACTTGATTAGCCGTTAAGAAAAAAACTTATAAACCATCTTATCTTTTAAGTTGGATCAAACTGAACACAGTGCGCTATATTTTACTAAAGTCGGTTCAGTAGTTTATATATATAGATAACATTCAACCTTTATATATATAACATACATATATAAGGTTGTCAAATATCTCCCTTCCGCTTTTTTGTCTTTTGAATTTCGCGGCTATGTACAAAGCGCTACAGAGCTCGTATCTGGCAACACTATACATAATTTGAAAGGTCTTGACATAACCTACAAAACAACGCTATGCATGATTAGTTTGGATATTGCGTTCAACAGTTATAGACGTGTAAACATGGAGTTCACTAACGCCGAAATTCGCGCTATTTTAAAGTTTTCCTTCGTTAAAGGCAAATCCGCTAGAGAAACGTTCCATGAGATTAATGGTGTTTTGGGGGATGGTACTCTATCACTTCGAACCGCGGAGGAATGGTTTCGACGATTCAGAGCCGGTGAAAACGACACCATGGATAAGCCAGCCGTCGGAAGACCTGTGACGACAAATACCGATCAAATCATGGAATACATCGAGTTAGACCGGCATATGGCATCTCGTGACATCGCCCAGGAGATGGGAGTTAGTCACCAAACCATTTTGAACCATCTGCAGAAGGCTGGATACCAAAAAAAGTTTGGGTGCCGCATAATATGACGCAAAAAAACCTTCTGGATCGAATCAACGCCTGCGATATGCTGCTGAAACGGAACGAACTCGTCCCATTCTTGAAGCGGATGGTGACTGGCGACGAAAAATGGATCACATACGACAATATCAAGCGAAAACGGTCGAGGTCGAAGGCCGGTGAATCGTCCCAAACAGTGGCCAAGCCGGGATTCACGGCCAGGAAGGTTTTGCTGTGTGTTTAGTGGGATTGGAAGGGAATCATCCACTATGAGCTGCTCCCATATGGCCAGACGCTTAATTCTACCATCTACTGCGAACAACTGGACCGCTTGAAGCAGGCGATCTACCAGAAGCGTCCAGAATTGGCCAACAGGAAGGGTGTAGTGTTCCACCAGGACAACGCCAGACCACACACTTCGTTGATGACTCGTCAGAAGCTACGGGAGCTCGGATGGGAGGTTTTATCGCATCCACCATATAGCCCGGACGTAGCGCCAAGTGATTACCACCTGTTCCTGTCCATGGCGAATGCCCTTGGTGGTGTGAAGTTGAACTCAAAAGAGGCTTGTGAAAAGTGGCTGTCCGAATTCTTCGCAAATAAGGAGGGGGGCTTCTACGAGGAAGGTATTATGAAGTTGCCGTCTAGATGGAAACAGATCATCGAACAAAACGGCGCATATTTTAACTAAATCCGATCACTGTAACACTTTTTATAAAGCATTGAATGAAGAGCAAAAAAGCGGAAGGGAGATATTTGACAACCTTTATATAGAATAGAAGCCCGACAGGGGTAAACTTTTTAAAATTAGCTGTAACAATTAGACCGTTTTGATGAAAATTTTTATTAGAAACTTATTACAACATCTAACGTCATTTATATATATTTATCACAATCCGACCAATCGATAGGGTGTCAATATGTATATTATTGTAGAATGCTTTTAGAGATGTTAATTGTAGAAGCTCTATTGAATAAAAACTTGAAGTCGTTTTAATTGATTGTGAAAAGGTTGAATCTATTCTATAACCGGTATTTATTCTTAGAGTTAATTATCTACAAAAACTGAAGTTATCGTAATACCATACGATGTACAATATTTTTGGTTAATCCTTGAGAGGTATAAACAACGCAACGTATAATTAGCCGCGAGAAAAGTCTGTCTGCGGAAATTCTATGTAAAACGTTCTAACATCTTCGATGGTAGCGCAGTCTACCGGATCCAATGTAAAACATTCCAAAATTAACAACGACTTATAAATGAAAAATTAGTTAAATAAAAATTTTCCAGTGGACCAAATTGTGAATATAAACCATCCTCGAATCCCCCTGAACTCACACAAAAAAATTCATCAAAATCGGTCCAGCCGTCTAGGAGGAGTTCAGTGACATACACGCACACAAGAAATACCTATATATATAAAGATATAAATATCTAGATAACAATCCACTTCCATTATTTATGAAATTGTATTTAAATATTACTTTTCGATTAAGATTTAAACCCAAATGATTTTGTAATATTTCTTTTCCTATTTTTTATATATCATCGGAAAACATATCTGAACCATATCCGTCAACTTCCAAAGAGCTCAATTCCCCAAAAGCTCTATCTAATAGTAATAAGTGTCTCACAATTCCAGAGGCTCCCCCTATTAACTTAGTAGCATCAGTTAATCATTTGAT